AAAAGGCGTCATATGAGATAAGCAGACCTGTTATGTTATTGTATTGTTTTTTCAATCGTTGTGCATCATCGCTATAATTATACTTTTGTTTGACATCTAAAGAGCAAAACATGACACAATCTTCTGAATCCTTTGGTAAATAATTCGAAGATTCAAACAATTTAGCACTTTCATTTTTATTTAGACTATTTATTTAAATTTCTAATTATTGGTAGTGCATCGACCGGAAAATCCTGTATATTGCATCAGTTTCTTGAAAATAAATGTAAAATATTTCTTATTCTATTAAAATAGTTTGTTTTCTTTTATAATTGATTAATTATAGTTAAACCTGATAGTACACATACAATCGGTGCTGAATTTGGTTCAAAAGTACTTACGGTTGATCAAAAAAGTGTGAAACTTCAAATTTGGGATGTATGTTGATTATCATTGCGATTTTTTTTACAGGCATTAGTGCTCATATATATATCCTCCCCCTAGTTTTTCTTTATTTTCACAAATTTTTTTGTTGTAAGTGTCCTGCGGATATGAAATCCTTTTTTAGTCGTATGAATGAAGTAGCCGAATTGATGTCTACCCTTTGACCTTATATTGGATCTAGAGATAGATCTCAATGAGACTAGCAACAACCTAAAAGTAGTCATCCCCATGAGTATTTGTTGCTGAGTATCATCAGTTTATTGACTTTTCGATTAATTTGTAAGGTACGCATAATCTAAAACTCGAATGAATTTTTTTCTCATTCATTTATACATGATTTGATAGAGTTTGACAAGTTGGTCACGATTAGATAGTTTTTATTTCGATTTAACTACTATTTGACTGAAGGAAAACGTATAAAACTCACAGACATTGTAAAATTTTAATTACGTTGTTTCGTCGAACTTTGTGAAAATATTTTATTCTGAATTAACATCGAAATCTTAATAGAAAAATGTTATTTAGTTAAATTTAGAGTTAATTAGTTTAAAAATATCTCGACTAATATAAATAGTTCGAGCATGCCTCATAACACGTATGCGTAATTATTGTCGTAAACCTATCTACTTTTTGTAACAAGATATAGAAGTGTCTTACCTCATTAGAATCGTCATATTATGAGCTAGAAAAAGGTTTAATTAGTTTGTTTTGTTTTATTGTTGAAAAAATTGAATTTTTTCCATATTCGGTGATAAAATCGAGTCATCGTCAAAACTTGCATCGAATCATATATGTTTTAAGAAACTTTTCCTTCTATGATATATCGACTCATTGTAGGAAGCAATCGCAAATAGAAAAACAATAGACCTAAGCGCATCACACATGCATTTTTCATTGTAAACAATTTTTCCTGAATTCTATTGTAATGTGACGTCGTTTTTGACGCTAATTCCGAATATGCTATGTATGTTGATTTACAACTGATCCATCGTAATACAAACTCCAAAAACGAATGGATCTTTTACTTTTTTATCACCGCATAAGGAAAAAAGTCAATTTTTTCAACAATAAAACAAAATAAACTAATTGGACATTTTTCTAGCTCATGATATGACGATTCTAATGAGATAAGACACTTCTATATCTTGTTACAAAACGTAGATAGGTTGACGACAATAATTACGAATACGTGTTATGAGGCATGTTGGAACTATTTATATTAGTCGAGATATTTTTAAACTAATTAACTCTAAATTTAACTAAATAACATTTTTCTATTAAGATTTCGATGTTGATTCAGAATAAAATGTTTTCACGAAGTTCGACGAAACAACGTAATTAAAGTTTCACACTGTAAAAATAAACTGTGCTGATATTTGTGCCAATGATACATCTTCAGTCGTACGAGGTTTTTACATCATATAAAATAACGAGAAAAAAATTCACTCAAATGGCAGAGTTTCGATTGACAATTTTTCTTATTGATACATCTAATGATTCTTAAAATATTCTGAAAGTTTCAGCGGAAAAAAATGTTTCATCGTAAAGATATTAAATTTACAAAAATAGTCATTTGCCACAGATGTGTTACAAAAATCGAGCTCACATTAAAATTCAATAATTATATGAAGATATCATTTTTTGGGTTGAAACTTTTCGAATACTTTAAAAGCCATTAGATTTATCTATCAACAAAACTTTGAATTAAAACTGCATTATTTAGTCTTTCGACGAAGAACTAAAAACGGGTCAAAAATCCAGTAAAGTGCTCAGAACTCGGTGCAAAATACCGATAGAGACAAACTTTTTTAAGCTTTTCCTGTTGACACTGCGATCTGCATATGAATTCAATATGAGCTCAAACGACGAGAGTCACTAAGAGTGGCTTCCTCATTAGCAAAAAAAAACAATATTTTAGGAAAAGAATCACTTTCAACAAATATTGATATTTCTATTGTATTATGGCTTGTATCTAATCTACAGCTGCATGAATAATGACTCTATCAACTGAAGTTTCTCTAGAAAATAAAAATAAATCATTATTTCATTAACGAGTAATGTCTGTCATTAAAAGTATTTAGCTACAAACTTATTTGTTAGTACATCAGAACGATTGTGTAGCCTATAATTTCACAATGATTCACTGTTAGAAAGCGAAAGTTCTTATCACTAGTGAAGTTTCATACAGTTTATCAAAATAATAGGAAAATAGAATATTGGTATCTATAACTATGGTTTCAACTTCTGAAGTGGAAAGGTCTATATGATAATCAAGAATTTGCAGAGCATGATTAAAGAAAATAGTACATGTAGTTCAAGTCAATTTTTTTTCTATCGGAAGTGATGTTATGCTATCAAAACTTTTGACCGAAATCTTGTACTTGTTAGTGTTAATAAAAATAAATCATTATTTTTAGAACCGAGTCATTTCTACGTAAAATACTGAAAACAAACGGCTAGTATTTCTAGATCTTTTTTTATAAAAAATTGGTTTTTATTGAAAACAAGCATGATTGTCGGAATCGGCATACAAAAATACAGTAGAAGCGGCATTTTTTCAAAATGTCTCTGATTACAATTTTTTTCTGCTTCCTTTCAGCTTTTTATTCTTAAATAAGCATAAAAATTAAATTATGAATCTTTTTTCAATGAAAGATAGAGTTTTCAGTGTTTTTTAACATGCTGATTCCAAAAATCGTATTTGTTTTCAGAAAAAAAAAACAATTTTTATTAATCCATGGAACTAAATCTGCTATAAACATAATCAGTTTTTCACTAATACTGAATAAATGCCATGTCTATTTATATTATCTCTTATCGTATGTTTACTCTATTCAGACTGCTGGACAAGAAAGATTTCGATCAGTAACACGTAGTTATTATCGTGGTGCATCCGGTGCTCTACTTGTTTATGATATTTCAAAGTAAAAAACAAAGAAGAACGAAATATTATTTTTCTTTGTAAATGAATTTAATTTTAGTCGAGAAAGTTATAATACAATAACAAATTGGTTATCCGATGTTCGTACATTAGCTAGTCCAAATATTGTAATAATTCTATGTGGAAATAAAAAAGATTTAGAAGAACAACGTCAAGTAACATATCTTGAAGCTAGTCGATTTGCACAAGAACATGGTAAAAATATTTTTCTTTGAAAACAAAAGTAAAAAGAATTTTTTTGTATCATAATGAAATTATAGATTTAATGTTTCTTGAAACATCTGCATTAACAAATGAAAATATAGTCGAAAGTTTTCTTAAATGTGCTCGTATTATTCTCACAAAAATTGAATCAGGTTATTTAAATATTTTTATTTTTCAATATAAATAAATTTCAAATTTAATTATTTAGGTAATATTGATCCATATCGAATGTATTCAGGCATTCAATGTAATCGTACAGTTGCTGCTGCTCAGCAAAATGAAAATTTACCTAATAATACATCACGAAAATTATCAAGAAATTGTGCATCGTGCCAAACATAATTTTATTTATATCTATAAGATATATATTCTATTTATTTATTTATTTTTTGTTGATTCATTTTTTTCCGAGTATATACGACAGAAATCATTCCTTAATATTTCAAAAAAAAAATCCATAATCATTTACTCTTGTTTTTCTGTTGCTATTCTAACTATTGCTATCGCTCATACTGCTGCTACTTCGCTTCTTTTTTGCACTGGTACAAGCTTATAAAGTAGAATCTCGTAAATATAAATGATATATATATATATATTATGATTAATGATCCGTGCTATTTCTAAAATGTCCGAAGAGTACTATTAGAGACTATGAAGTATTTCGATGATTAATGTTTGTTTATCATTGTACAAGTCACGCATCGAACTATGAAATCAGTGTGGATCAAAGATGTCCATCGCAGCTAGAAATTTGCTGTTGATGCGATGGTTTTCAAGAAATTCTTCGAAAATCTCTTCTGCCACTATACTAAATTAGCACAGTTAGATTGACTCCATCAGATTCATCACGATTCAAACTTTGGAACTGGTAGACACTCAAATCGGTTGCCAATTCATGTAATTTTACATTCTTTTTAAAAAAAGAAACTGCTCTTGACGTGATAGTATGCACGAAATATGTCTCGTCTCACTTTTAACATAGCTGACGTGGAGTTATTTTGAATGCAATAGATGAGAAGTCGTCAACGTAATTTATTTTTTTGTTTTCGTTATGAAGATCATAAACTAACGACATCTATAAACTGATAACCAAGACTATAGTTGAATTAAAATAAATTTTATATTTTTAGTTTAATTAGAAAGAAAAAAAAATATATTAAGAGAATTTCGACGAAAATTATTTGGTTTCTAAGCAAACAGTTTCCTTGGTGATAGAGTAATGATGGCTATCTGTTGAACTGCGGGTTTGTTCTTTCTTAGATACGTTCTGATTGATAACTAAACAAGCTGCTAAAAGAAAATGGTATGTTATGAGACAATAATATGTGAAGAGAACAGCTCTTTACATCATTATCTAATATTTCTTTCGTATTCTTAGTCGACCGATGAACGATATTGTTTCACAGGCGAATGGTACGATCCTCAAGCGTCAATGACACGCACTTATCAAGTGCTTTTTTATCCATCGGATAATAGTATTGAAATGGTGAATAGAATTCTCTTGTTTTTTGAATATACTAATGTATTTATATATGGGTTTTGCTTAGTTTGATGTTAAAACTCGTCGAACATTTCTTAAGCGTACTAAAAGTGAAGCAACAAAATTAGCTGAGTTTTTTATTGGCAATACAATAAATATATTTTCTCGTTCAATAAAAATTGTTGATTTTGGCGATGCATTTACTGCTCGATGTGTCGGCAAAAATCAAGAAAGGTGAAAAAACAAGAGATTATTGATCTTTTCATATTTTTCTTTATTTAGAACTTTAGCAATTATAAAACCAGATGCTATACGCAATTTAGGTGATATAATAAGTGCTATTTACGAAAATGGTTTTACAATTGCACGTATGCGAATGATTAAATTATCACAAAATGAAGTGATGTATTTTTATGGAGAACATAAAGCAAAAGATTTCTTTCCGTATGTTTTCTAAATGTTATATTATCATATATAATAATATGAGGACATCAATTTTTTAGACGATTAGTTGAATTTATGACAAGTGGACCAATTGTTGCTATTGAACTGGTTGGATCTGATGCAATTAATCGTTGGAGAAGTATGATTGGACCAACTGATTCATTAAAAGCAAAAGAACAAAGTTCATATTCACTTCGAGCACGATTTGGCACAGGTTTGAACTTATGAATAAATTGATTGATTAAATGAATTAATTATTTTAGATGGTACAAGAAATGCTTTACATGGATCAGATTCAGCAACAAGTGCTCAACGAGAAATTTCATTCTTTTTCGGTTCAAAATATGGTACTAATACAGCTTGTTATAATGATACAACATGTTGTCTTATTAAACCACATGCAGTTGCTGAAGGTAAATAAGACTAATTAATGAATGTCAGTTTTCGGTTTTCAAAACTTGAATTTTTATTCTTATAGGAAAAGCTGGACAAATTATTAATGCTATTCTTACTGCTGGTTTTCAAATTTCTGCTATTGGCACTGTAAGTCAATTATATCTAGGAAATTATTTTTGTCTATGCTTTTGCTCTTTTTTTCAGTACAGTTTAGATAAAGTTAATGCTGAAGAATTTCTCGAAGTTTATAAAGGTGTTGTTCATGAATATCCTGTAAGTAATTCTTATTTTTCGAGAGAACATTCATGACTATCGAACGTCATTCGACTTCATATTATGACTACGCATAAGTTTCGATAAGACTAAGGCAACCTTAAAAGAATTTCGACTTGTGGCTTATTGATAAAGAGTGATAACTATTTACATGAAACTTTTATTGAGAGCAAAGGATTTCGGAAAAATCCGAAACAAACAGTTTCGACCAGAAAGTTTCAATGAAAACGAAGTTGTTTTTCTCGATATATTCAAATTCTAAGTAGACTAGATTATTGTGTCCTATCGTAAACCATTACTTTTTCGAGATATTCAATATAACAAGAAAGACATATTTGGCTTCTTTGAAACTGTTATCATTAGGTCAGGGGCCCGAATTCTTTTAATTTTGTCTAACGATGGAAATTATTCAACTGTTCAATTGCTTTTGAGTCGACACTACGTGCATTATGTAAACCCAAAAGAGTTTTGAGTATCCTGAGAAGAGTTGGTGTCGTTAGCTTATTGTTGGTGAAATTCAGCACTTGTACGCTATTTTTTAAATAAATGCCGTAGTAACTGGAAAACTGATTTTTGGATTTCGATTGGAAACTCTGCGTAGAGACAAGCCTTAATGAGAATTGTTTATTGTGAAAATGTTAGGTCTTCTGATTCCCTGCTATCCTTGAAATAAGAACATCAAATCTGCTAATTTATATGTGTAATGTAATAAACATACTATTACTTTAGTGGTGTCTTGGTATACGATATCGGCAAGACCTGAAATGTTTACAAAAAACTATTCTCATTAAGGCCTGTCTTTATGCAAAGTTTCCACTAGAAATTCGATAAACCAGCTTTTCTATTAACACAGCATTCATATAAATACCGTAAAAGTGCAGTATCTTAGTAGCAATAAACCCAATAGCAAAAACTCTTTTCAAATTATTCATAGATCATTTGGGTCTACATAATGTACATAGTCTCGACTCAAAAGCGATTGAACAGTTTGAAGACTTCGCTCATTAGTCTTACTGAGACCTACTCGTAGTCATAGTATGAAGTCGAATGACATCTGACAGTTCTATATGTTCCTTCATTAATGATATCTTAAATATTTCTTTTTTTTTCGCTAGAAAATGGTTGAAGAATTGATGTCAGGTGCATGTATTATTCTTGAAGTTCGTTGTCAAAATGCTCAAGCAGTTTTTCGAGATTTTTGTGGTCCAGCTGATCCGGTATGTTAAATATTGTAGTATCTATTTCACATAGTTATTTTTCTTCAAGGAAATCGCTCGTCATATTCGTCCGAGAACATTGAGAGCTCTATATGGAAAAGATAAAGTGAAAAATGCTGTTCACTGTACAGATTTAGCTGAAGATGCAACACTAGAAGTAATTAAATATTTCGAAGCTCTGTTTTTTTCTTTCCATTCTACATTCGTCTTATTTTTAGGTTGAATATTTCTTTCGAATTTTGGACAATTAATAAATCGTTTTTTTTTTAACTTTGGATTCCTTTTCTTTGATTATTTGCGAATAAAAAAAAAAAAATTCTATTATATTCTGAACAGATTATTTTTCATAAAAATGTATGAAATCAAAATAGAATGAAGTAAAATTAGAAGTCAATTATTGGTGTTGAATATTGATTAATCATTTTCAACTAAAAAATAAAACAAGATATTTTAATAAATTAATCTTATATGATAATATCATTTACGAGGTGATAATGGTGTTCGTCGATCTCGAGGTATTTGATGTTGATGATTGACATGATGTGATATCGAAATCGGTTGAGATATTGATGGATAAGAATATTGTTCATAGTTTGATGATTGTACTCGTTGTTGATTTCGGCGAACTTCTTGACCATTTGAAAAGTCATACGACGTTGATGTTATTTGTGGTATTGTTGGTCGAAAAGTGTCATGATAACTTGATGATTGTTTTTTTGTTCGGTGAGAAGATGGTGATGATGATACTTGTCGAAGATCAGTAATTGTATATTGCGGTATGGATTCTCGAATGATTTGCTCATTAAACGGTGATCGAAATTCCAGTGAACTTTTGGCTTCTAGAAAGTACTTGTATTTATGTCAAAATATTTTTTGAAATAGCGAGTTTTTTCTTCAAACAGCAATATATTTGTGTATATAAACCTTTAACGTACCTTTTAGTTGAATCTTAGTATTCCCAAAAGTTCCGATGTCTAGTATGAATCATCATTCTATGTGAATATTTTATTGTGATTAAAGATTCCTTATAGAGAACTAAAGTAAGTCAGTTTTATATATGTTTTACTTACGAAATTTTCGCTTAGAATTCCATTTCCATAAAATTAGACCAATCGTTCCTCCTAATAATAGAATACCAAGGAACGATCCAACGGCAATCAATGCGATTTTCCATGTAGCAAGAGATGCTATTCATAAGTTTTTAGAGAAAATAAATTTAAGAATTAAATAAATCACTCAATTCATACCCGGTGTATTTGTCGGATTAGTCGTACCTGATGGATTTGCCGGGTTAGTTGTACCTGTTAAAAATGAGGAAAATATATAATTATGCTTTACTATTATGGTCATTTTAGGAATTTTTCCACAAATGATAGCAAGAAGTCGGATGGAATTTTAGTTTTGCAATTAAAGTGAAAGATAATACTTAATCAGCGTTGCCATCTTTTCATGTTCAAAAAGCAGAAAGCACTTTTAATTGCCAATTTTTCTCAATCTCATAATGAGACAGTTTTTTTCATCAGACTCGAATTGCTTAGAGTTATTTGAGAGGACCCTTCCCCTTTCTTGACGCAAAGGAATCTTTTCTGATTTTGGAGTTTTCATTTCTTAAGATGTATTGCAGTGTCCTCTGTCGAGTGCCACAAAATTCACAACTGTGTCAAGTCGTAGAAGCCTTGAAAAAGCTTAGTTTCGAGCAGTCCTATATTGAAAAAAGCCTATGGTTTTTAGGTGACAATCTTGTTTATTAATTCTACAAATCTCGAAAACGGAGGAGGCCGTGTCCGCTTAAACAAATAAACAGAGTAGTTTACTGTGTTTTGTTTCAACGGTCTGCTTTTTTAACTTTCAAAAATTCTTTGTTTGATAGGAGTCGTATTAATACGATCATAATTCAACATCATTTTACATCCGTTTTGTCATCAATTAAAAGACTCATCAAATTAATTTCATAAAGGTTTCTCTTCCTTTTTGACCAAAAACTCGATTTCAAGCTGAACTTAAGGTATGATAGACTGAAGTGTTATATGCAGCTAGAGATATCATTCGACTCTAAATAGCTTAACGTTAGAGAGTAACTGAATTAAGAAAAAAGTTTTTTTTTCGTAGTAATCATATTTTAATTCATTTTCTTTTACTAAGCGTGTCGCAAAATCCCATTTTTTTTGAATTTTGGTTGCTTACGATCCCCCTGTGACTGTGCCCGATCAGGCGGAACTCTTTACGACTAATATTTGGAAATATTCTCGAGAGGTAAAATCAGGCATTTTCGTTTTTGACTATCGTACCTAAATTTACAGGGTCCGGGACGCCAAGATCCTGGTTTTGGCTCCGGGTCTTTGCCTATTTCTCTTATGAAAAAAAGAAAGTAAGGTTTTTGGAAAAGCTTAAATTCACTTTGGAGATATAGTCTTAGGTATCTCAAACAAAATTTGAGTTCAATTGAATAAAGTTTGATGGGGATTGTAATGTACCAGGATGTGGGCTTCTATAAACCCAGGATTTTCCAGATACACCAGCAAAAACCTATTTCGAAATTTTCTCTCGGACATCTGTCTCCTTATTTTTGATGCTCTATCTGTGATAAAAATTCCAGCTTGATTGATTGTACTGTCTTCGAGAACTAGAAACGACCAAAACGAATGGGGTACCCTTGAGCAACAGAGTGAACGCCTATAACAACTTTCGAAGATACTTTTGATGACTAAATCTTGATTTCTAACTCTAAGTTGTGCTATTATAGTTTATTAAGATATAAGCAAGAAAGAACTTGAAATTTTTTTTTACATAATGATCAGGGATGATATAAAGCCGAAACTCGTAGATGTATATTTTATTTAAAAGTAGTCTTGATAGTGATAATGTGATCGATCGCATCCAATAAATTTGATTTCGAATGTGTAAAAGAAAAATTACAAAACTAACAAGGTTGTTAAAATAATGTATGAATATTTTTAAAAAAGACAGAGTACATTGAAACTTATTCTAGTTCAATCAAATTGAATTATGCTTTCTTACTAAGCACTACATATCTGTCGTTCTTTCAAAATATTTAATTGCATGTCAGATTCCTAAGTCGAATCAGAAGCAAAACGAACATGAAGTGCGACTTTGATTAAAAGTAATGCCAATAAGAATCAAACTCTTTTCTTCGGATAAATAGAAAATGGTTCTACGATTCTATACTAACACTTGAAATCTAATCATTAAAAATATAACCGGCTATTGTGATAGTCGTATTAAATCATCTACAAAATTAAGTTCAACAGTAACTGAATCGACAAAAAGATAGAAATAAATTATTATTGATTTATATCATTGCGACTGCCGTGCGAACTATAATTCTAGCACGATAAAAAACAAGAGACAGGTAAAGAATAAGTACTAATGACAAATAAAATTAAAGTAGTACTGTTCGTAATCAATAAAAAACTTACGATATCCTTAACAAAAAAAAGGATACAGAAGAAAAAACAATACCAACAAATGTTGATAGGAATTTTCTTGACATTTTCAAGGAGATGAGTTAGTAGAATCTAAGAATATTGTTGAAAAATGTTAAAATCACGAGATTAAAAAAAAGCAGAATTTTTTTGTTAAAAGTAGAAGAGATGGCAACACTGTTTCTGGCTCATATAATCTTATTAATCGAATAGAAAGTAGTATTTGGTAATTTCAAAGAGGAAATAAATGGAATAGAGATGCTATCCAAGTACGTAGAGGATTTACTCGATGATACTGATGAATATATACTATTATTGTAATTGATCATGTCTTCTAGAGTTGTAACTTTACTTGTACCTGATTGAGTAATAGTTAGTTTTGAAGATGAAAAATTCATGGTAGTAGTCTCGGGACTGGTTGTTGCTAAAAATAATAACATGTTTATTTTTCTTCTTATGATATCGAAAAAATATTTGATGTCTTACTTAATGATCTTAAGGACTCCCTTTTTAGGGTTTCTCGGGAACGACTGGACGACAAAATATGAAAGTTTCAAAGCAGATGGATCTCAATAATTAGAGCAAAATTTGCCATAAACTCAAAACTCCGAGATGCTTCCATTAGGAAGATATAGGGACCGCAAAGGCCCAAAATGGTTGAAAGCTTTCCTTCCGGCAAAATTCTATATTTCATTTTATTCGAGCTGTAATTTTTTCATGATGACTAGAACCAAAATGAAGTACATATTTTTATTTCTCTTTCAAAAATATTGTTCCTACATGCCAGAAGCAAAACAGTGACAGCACTATCAAGAAAACGTTTTTTTTCAATAGTACTGATTTTCTAAAGGATTCGGAATTTCGTAGGAACAACATTTTGAAAAAAAGTAAAAAAACTGTACATTGTAATTATGTGGAAGAAAAGGAGGAAAACTTCGTTTCTTTTTTTGTCTGAAAATTGGTTTTGAGAAAAACGCAAAACAATGTACAGATTTCGCTTATTTCATTATGTAAATTTGATTTATTTTCAATTTTTTTTGCATTTAAAGACAATTTTTGAATCTCAAAATGTATTCATTAGATAGATATCACCTCAGAATATACAATGACCATAAGAAACCAAAAAGTCTGAGTCACGAAAGAAGAGAGAGCGCATCCTTAAGTATATTTATTACCGTCATATGTACATGGTTTAATATTAATATCAAACCGATATTTTGTATAGATAATGTCATACACAATGGACAGATTTATAAGAGTCGAATTCAGTAAGTCTTCCAGTGTTAGGGTGTGATTGTTCAAATCATGGAACGTATAATTGCATCGATCTTTTGCAGCAGCTGTATTCAAACAGTACGAAATAATGCGTACACATTCCACCTTAATATTGTGTTCAATTAAAATTGTACACTTGTCAGATGTGCCAGACGTATATACCATCGGTTCTTTGATTAATGATACATCTAAAAATTAAATGAAATAGCAACATTCCAATAGATCGTGAATATAGAAATAAATAGCTTCATTGTCATTGGGTACTTTTCAAAAACTCATGAGGAAACATTTCTAATTGTCCGATCGCTTTTTTGTTTAAGACTGTTGCCATTCGATTGGTTATGATGAATAATAAAAGAGCCTAGTTTGTTTTGATTTGTCGATCTTAACTTGTCGAATTGTGAATGTTTTACTCAGTTTTTGCCGATGAGGATAGCATCGCTAAAAGCCTTGATGATCAATTTTTTGGCTTAAACTTTGTCCATAAATAGACTTCAGAGTCAGTAAAAATAACTCAAAGTTTGAGTTATAACACATTCATCTTTGATAAGATATTTATGTTTTAAGAAAGTGTCTTTCTGGACCATATTTTCAAAGAAGGACATTTCTATGACAAGTTGATATCTTGATACGAATACGTTTGTCCTAGCTCAAAGTTTGAGCTATTTCTAATAATTATAAGATTTATCTATGGACAAATATTCAGGTTAAAATTCGATCATTCAGATTCTCAGTGATTCTATGCTTATGGGACAAAAATTTAGTAAAATGCCTCTAACTCAACAAGCGAAGATCGGAACACCAAACCAAAACAGATTGTTTTTTTTTACTGCTTACGATGATTGACCAAATGGCAATAGTGTCAAGAGAACAGCGATTGAACAGTTGAAAATATTCTCTCGTCAATAATTTACGATGAAATTTAAAAACACTATGCATGGTAACTTTTTCGATGTCAGAAAGTTATTAAAATTTTCCGATCAAATAGAGATAATCGAAAATATTTTTTCTTTTCAAAGAATAAATTTCTTTCTTTTGTCTTTGCGATGTTTAACAATGTAAATTGAAGTATTATCGATCTTGCAAGCATGTGAAAATTACACAGTTGATGTGGCTATCATGAATATAGTTTTCTTGATTATCATTTTAATGAGTTTCAAGAAATTTTATAAGATAAATATGCATGGAAAGATATATGTTCGTGCATTTATTAAATAGTTAATTGTGGACATGGAAAAGATCGTTTATGTCAAGAAATAATCATTTTGATTGTGAATATGATATATGAAAGATATGTAGGACAACGAGAGTCGTACAATTATTCACGTATAGAGTATGGACGTGGGGGGGGGGGGGGGAGGAGGTGGTAGGGGTGTGGGGGGGGGGGGGGGGGGTACATGGTGGGGTGGNGGGGGGGGGGAAATGTAGTTGTGAGGTGTATGACTGTGTGTGGAATGCATGTGTTGGTATGGGTAAAAGGGGGATATGAACCTGGTCTCCATCCTAAGCCATACAGACACACCATACTCACATTCATGTGCGCAAGTATCCTAGCAAATAAGTGTTCTTGTGAGCAAATGTTCCAATTTCAGGGAAGCAATATGAAGTATAACTCTGAATAGATTAAGTTTT